TATGGCTGGCGCACTCGGCCGGAGCGGCTTGTGGAAGCTCCATGTATATGGCGACGAAGGGTTTTAAAACCAACTCCTGCGTGACGCGGCCGGGAGGGTCCCGCGCTGCCCCCGTGCGGTGCCGGACCGATGCGCCCGACAACGTGACCTGCATCGGGCGGCTCTTCTCAGACGACTAGGGGAGCTGGAGGAGTGAGGACGCTGGGCGACCTATGATATACGGCCATTAGTTGGCTGAGTACTACCAGGCTATAGCGCAGGCGCCATACCGCGTCGAGGACGAGTTTGACGACAAGGGTTGGGAGCGAGACGAGGACGAGGGCGTCTGGGAGCCAGACTGGGTCGACCCCGAGAGTGAGGTTGACGAGGAGGAGATCGACGTTACGGACGCCCATTTCCCCAGGGTAGGAGTAGCTGTCCGAGCGTAGGAGGCAGAGGAACACATTGGGACGATGGTTAAGTGAGCTTAGCTACTGATATCGGTCGATAGTCGAAGAGCGGATCGATGGTAGAGCAACCCAGTGGAGTGGAACTTCAGATCGACGACGCTAGATGACCTAGACCTCCAGAGACAGTAGCGCCAGGCAGGGTGGCGCTGGATCTGTCGGTCAGAGGGGTTTCCGCGGATGTGATAGAGAGCCGATGGTCATCGACGGAGTGGGGCCCAGACGTACACTTGTGGACGTATGTCATCGAGACGTTTGAGCTAGATAGTCAGAGGTGGCGACGATCAGGCACGACTAGCATAGAGGTAGTGGGCCACATTTACTACTCGCGGGAGGTGCGAACCACAGTCTATTTTCACGGCATCGTGCACGATCATTGGCGAGAGGAGCAGACCGCGAGGAGGATCTTACTGGCTCGAGCGGACTCCGCGCGGGGCGAGATAGAGCGGCTGCACGGGGGTGTTCAGAGAGTGACAACGACCTTCAGGATTGGAGGACACTTCCCATATCCTAGCAGTCGACTGCGTGTGACACTTCCGTGCTTCGTGGCAGAGGAGCTTTGGGGATTTAGGCATCTGGGTGAGATCTACTTTGCGGCTCTTGACTTGGACGGCCTCTGTCGAGGGTACACTGACAGGGATTGAGTGTTGTATGCGCAGTTTGTAGCAGGGCCGCTTGTAGGCGAGCGAGGACTCCAGCTGATTGAGTTCCTGCGGACCATTGTACCTACCGGGAGCCCTGACCTATACTCTCTGTACCAGCCCCTAGCCTTCTGGACGGCACTAGAGAGAGAGGCTCGGAGGCCTACAGATTATTTAGCTGGAGTAGGACAGCTGTTAGTCGAGACTCGTAAGGAGAGGCCGGGCTATCTCATCTTGACCGGGGAGGTTGAGGAGTATTACCGGCAGGTATATCCAGAGGCAGACGATCTTGCGGGGTACGCTGAGGATCGGGATTGGGAGGACTTCGATGGCATAGACCCTTGGGGCGACCAGGACGAGGGCTGGGGAGATCTGGCGCGGGCCGAGGGACAGGAGCAGGTAGGTGGAGAGGCGCCGCATGAGGACGGCTGGGGACATCTCCTTCAGGCCGAGGGACAGGAGGATATCCCATGGGGGCAGAGGGTAGATGAGGACACGGACGAGGATATGCCAGATGCATGAAGACGACTAGAGGCAGGACATATCCGAGTGAGGTTTAGATAAGAGAGTAGTGCAGAGACGGTAAGCAGATATCTTTAGGCGAGGCGAGACTTACAGCAAGAGCAGGAAAGGATGGCAGACAGGGATATACTGAGAGTGACGCTTTCCCTACGACGAGATAGGACAATAGGCTGGGAACATGAAGTGTTGGGCAATGTTGAGCGACAGATCAGACTCATGACGGAGCATGCCCTGGCGATACTGAGAGGCCAGAGGTACGTCGAGTTCACTATCTACTTCCATTGAGCAGACGGGAGAGTGCACAGCACCTACTCGGCCATAATGGACCTAAGTGGGAGAGTTGTCTGAGGGGTTAGCGACATCATGAGATAAGGTGCGTCAGAGAGAGTAAAATGATACCGAACGAGAGCCGGAGGGGAAATGAGGAGTGACTCAGTAGCCTGGCTAGCTTATGTTCTCTCACGAGAGTCCGAATCCTACAGCGTGAGGAAACTTGTGAGACCCAGAGAGACGACTGTGGGATACGACATTCCTCTTCCTGTGGCGCTAGAGGGGACAGGGCGTGTTCCGATACGTTACCTGGGAACTTGGCTGGCAGAGGGACTCTTCCTTTGGACAGTGATACTGAGAGATGGACGCCCCAAAAGGACTCATGACCTAGAAGGGGTGGGATATCTGATAGCGGATAGAGCACACGATTTAGAGGTAGGACTGACGCTCGCAGGGGCCAGCAGGGCTTGGTGTAGAAGCGAGCTGTTGGCCAGAGTGATTGTTGATCAGCAACAGACGAGACTCTCAGGAGGAAGGACCTATTGGAGTCGCTTGGTATACGGGCGTTTGCATCCGATCCTTTATTTGAGGGAGGGTTGGCGATTTGGACTTCCTGCGTTCGTAATAGGGCAGGCCTATGGGAGCGTAGATCGTCTGAGTAGAGCAGTGGACCACACATTCTACACACATTGGGAGGGCTTAGCGCCCCGTTTCAGGGAAGTATACTACGCCATTTGTAAGAGGTGGGGACCACCCAGCAGAGAGACGCTAGATGACATCATAGACGTTACTAGCTGGGTGGACTGTCTGAGGCCAGTCGATCTGATCAGGTACTGCAGGAGACGAGCGAAGATTGATTACGTGGGGATTGAGGATGTGAGGTTTCTCTTCGAGGCCGCAACTTAGGGAATGCCGGGAAGGACGACAACTGTGATGCGCGTGGAAAAGCAACTTGTAAGCGCAGGGTACACTGTGACGGTACTTCTCCGAGCATATATTGACGAGGACTTGACGGTGAGGGAGTGCCGACTACGAGCCATGGATTTGATCTGTGAGCATAGAGCTGATGTACTGGCGCACGTGACCTTCCAGACCTCAATTTCCTACGACGTGATGATATGGATTCATGGTTATATGCGCGCGGAGCACTACCACGATGAGACGGTAGCGGAAGCTGGAGCGAGGGAGTGAGGAAAAGTTGGAAAGAGATGAGGACTGAGTATGGAAGAGGAGGGTGAGGCAGTCGAAAGAGTGAGAGAGCGCATTAAAGTACCACTCTTGAACCAGGTAAAGGAGTTGGGGAACAAGTTAAGGGAGATCTGGTCGTGCCAGGATGAGCGCAAGTTGCGTAGGGCTGAGCTCGTGACGAGAGAGTTAGAGAGTTTGTTTTGGGGGAAAAGAGAGATTATCCAGGCGTGGAGATCAAACTTTCTGGAGAGGGTAAAAGCTAGGAGTGTATCACGCGAATGAACTAGGGAGAGGTCTGCAGAGGGCGTGACAACGGAGGATAAGGTAACACAGAGAGGTAGCGACAGGACACGAGCGGGACTGCATTACACACGACGGATCGGTACTCATTGCATGTGGTAGGGAGATGGGACGGACCGTTGGTGTTAGTGATCGTAGAGCTCCAGCTCCATACCAGACTGTGCATAGTTGAGGAGGCAGAGTGTGTCCGCCGTACGCTGCATGAGGCTAGGGGGACAGGACTTTGGATTGAATTAGAAGGAGGACGAAGGATAAAATACGTACTCCGAGTGACACCTTTCGAAGGGCGGTCTCGGATAAGGGCATGGTACGAGACGACCAGGGAGGCTGAGAGGTTGAAGATAAGCGAAGCCAGGAAAGTTGGAGAGCTAGGGAGAGTTGTAATAGACGGTGCAATACTCAGGGTGCTAGCCGCTCACGATCGGTACAGGAGGGAGTCCATAAAGACTTTAGAGGCCATAGAGGATAGTGGAGATGAGGAGGATTTTGAGACATTCTATGACATATTGGAGCTGTCGGCGAAGAGGTTACAAGTGGTTATAGCACTGACTTACCTCAGGTGCTAGACACATGACCTCATAGCCGTCTGGGAGTTAAAGGAGGAGAAATTGAGATTGGAAGCTCTTGCAAAGACAGTGGAGGTCAGAAAGGTAGCGAGCGACTTTGGATGGCAGTAGGAGGAGAGCTTCCACCTTCAGCGGGCTACCCGATTCAGGGCGGGCTGGGAGACCTAGCAAGGAGGACGGAGATAGACACTCAGAGGCTCTTGAGGGGTGTTGATCAGAAGACATTGGTTAGGCTTGGGACTGCGATCTGCCGCAGGCGTAGAGATCCTGTCACGGGTGTACTGCAGATCCGGAGAGGCGCGGCCTTGTTGGCCGATCGTGAAGGAGAGGTTTACCTAGACACAGGGATTCTTGGGATAGAGGGAGAGCACGAGATCCACGACCGGAACGGAGTACTGGTGGTGGTAATCGGGGCAGTCGAGAGCTAGGATTGGAGGCAGACGCGAACCGTGACAAGGAAACAGGTCCGGGCTACCGCAACTGTCACTGGTCCGGGTTGTGAGTTCTGTCACAGGTCCGGGCTGCAGCAACTGTAATAGGACCGGGCTGTAACACCCGGCGAGGGAACCTAACTGCGTCTTCTGGTGGCCTATGGAACCAGACACAATGGGGCCACAACCGACCACGGGCAAGGCGGGGGAGGAGTACAGAACATCGCCCGACCGAACTCTGAGGGATCTGAAGGAACGAATTAGGCGGGAAGCACCGCTGAGATGGGCTGACCAAACCAATGACAGAGAGTCCGACGTAATGGGCGAGCCGGTCGTGACATAACCACAGGAGGCTTTGAAGACAGGAACCTCGAGGGGCCGACGAGAAGCGACGAGACGACGCTCCCCCGAGTATGAGCGGAGGGAAACCATGGCGGATAGGCACAGGGACGACTGGCGAGAGAGTTCGAGGGATTCTTATTGGAGGGACAGAGATAGAGATAGAGCACCACCGCGACGTGTCTTCGACCCCCAAACGGGGGAATCGCACCCGCTCCCATACGAGAGCAAGGATCGCTATATTATTACACACAAGGCCTCAAAGCCTCCTACTTTCAGGGTCTATGGCATTACAGAATATCTGGAGAAGTGGGAGCTTCACGCCAGCCGGAGTCAGTGGTCGGAGGAAGAGATTATAGAGAACTTTCTGTTTAATGTGGACCCAAGTCTCGGTAAGGAAGTTAAGGAAGCTCGACCGAAGGATGGGAAATGGACTACGTACAAGAAGAACCTCGTTGAGCTTTACAAATTTGAGGATAACAAGTACTCCATCAAAGACCTTGAGACGATGACTCAAGATGAAGATGAGAGCATACGGGCATTTGGGATGCGTTTCCAGAAGATCTCCGACGTGCTGATGAAGAAGGGGAAGATCTCAGAGGTCGAGCGTTGTACTATCTTCATCGGACACCTGTCCAAAGGTAGACAAAAGAGTATACTTAGAGATCTTCCGTGCGACAAGCTTGACTTCCCAGAAGTCCTAAAGCTCGCGATAAAGGTAGAGGCAGACGACTTCAAGGACTTGGTGTGGAGAGGGATGAGAAGACGTGACTTTTCTCTCTACAAGGAGTATGTCACTGATAGATGTCCTGATTTTAAGGACCATCCCTGGTCGGAGAAGAATGAAGCCGTGGTCGAGGAAGTGAAGGAGATAAGGGACATGGTAAGGGGATTGACAAGACAGGTTACAGAGATTGTGACCAGCATAAGAGCCACGACTTACCGGGACAAACCCGGAGGGCCCTATTCACTTCGCTGGGACCATAGGAACACCGACGAGTCATGGAGACGTAGGGATGATGAGATAGACCAGGACCGCAGAGCTCGCGAGACGTATGGGCGAGCTAGGAGGCTGGATGATTACTCGCGTAACCCTCGCTATGAGGCCGATCGGGGTAGAGGCGACTCTCAAGGCCGGTGGGAGTCAGATCAGGGTCGACGAGACGGGTACAGGGACAACAGATATCAGAGATCAGACCGGGATGGATATAGGGAAGGAAGATATAAGAGGACGGATCGAGATGGATACCGAGGTGGCGGATATGAGAGAGGAGAACGAGACGGGGACCGACGAGACAACTCGCACGGACGGTATGACCGCAGGGGGTACGCGAGAGAGCAGCGCAACGATTCGCGGGGGTGGTACAACCGAGGAAATCGACGCGATGAGTCACGCGGGGGATGCGACACTGGGGACCACCGAAATGATTCATGAGGACGATATGAGCTGGGAGGATCTGGAGGAGACCGCCGCAATGATTCGCGCGATTGGAATGAGAGAGGGGGATATAGTGTGTCGTCTGATCCGTATCCGCAGTCCCCTGACCCCAGAGCAGCGAGAGGTTCGACCTCCAGAGGCACAGACGACAGGCCACCCACTCTCAGGAACTCTTGCGTCTACTGTAGAGGAGATGATCATATCAAGAGAGATTGCCCGGACCTCAAACGGGCAATAAATGAGGGACTTGTCGTGCTTGACGACCGCAAGTACGTCAAGTGGGCAGATGATCTGGGAGATGTGTCGATGTTCCCTTCGATGAAGGAGAATATCGAAGCAAGGAGAGTAAGGCCGAGTAAAGGAAAGGAGCCGGTCAGGAGTCAGAGCATCAAGATAACTTTTGAGGGGGATAAGGCGACCACACCCATAAGGGTGGCAGCCACCAAGTCGGCGAGGGGGTCTACATCGAAAAAGACTGACACGGATTACGTGATGGCGGAGAAGGAGGGGCAGCGGATCGATGGAGAGGAGGTTATTCTTTCGCCGCGAAAGCAGGGAGTGAAGAAGTTTTTGATGAAGAGTTCGCTGGATGAGATTGACACGGTCGAGCCGCTGAGGCGGGCCCTTCGGCAGCCCATGCAGTGCTCAATTCTGGAGTACCTGGCGACATCAAAGCCAACTCGCGACGAGTTACAGATGATCACGCGGAAGACTCGCATACCTCTATCGGAGGAGGTTCAGATGACCCCTAAGGCGGAAGCTCCTACAGTAGCAGTAACGGGGGTGACTGCCAGAGCAGATCGCATGGCGACAGTCCTTCTTGATGGGATGGAAGGTGTGCCTCCAGACAAGTTTTACATACTTGGTAGTGGGGCCGTGGAGGCGATCATAAATGACGGAGCGGTACTAGATGCTGTGATCGATAACGGCGGTGAGACTGTCATTATAGACGAGGATCTGGCAGTGCAGGTTGGACTGGGCCTTGATAGGTCCTACCTATTCGAGATAGAGACGGCTGATGGGAGAAAGCAACAAATCATTGGGGTTTGTCACAAGGCAGCCCTAGAGGTCCAAGGGCTACGAGTGACCCTGCCTGTCTTTGCAGTCAAGAACTGCAGCTCCGATCTGCTCTTGGGACGAACGTGGTTGAGCCACGTGCACGCGGTGACGATAGAGCGACCGGATGGGAGCCAGACATTGTCCATTAAGAAGCTAGATGAAGCGCGGGTTATGATTGAGACAGTGGAGCCTCGGGACCCGAGGAACACAGCTGCTCTCGCTGTGGGTGCGAGACCCAGTGATCAGATTAAGTCATTACCTATCTCCGGCCACACAGTGCAATTTCGCGAGAAGAAGTATGAACCACTGCTCACGGAGGAAGAAGGTCGGATCGTGAAAGTGGAAGATTTAGGGAGTCGGATGGTAGTGGACCGCAACTCGTACCCAAAGGAGACAGATGAGGAATTTGGCGGTGCGGTATCTGTGTTTTTTTTAAGGGCACGGCCCCCTATGGAGGGCTACCCAAGCGACACAAGCGAGTAGCTCAAAAAATTAAGCCAGCGGCGGTGGGCCGCGAGCGATCTGCACTGGAAGGGATATCGGAAGAAGAGATCGCAAAAAAAATCAAAGAAAGAAAGAAAAAGGAGCCGCAACGCCTAACGGAAGAGAGAATAGCAAGGATGGACATCGGAGACGGAAATCTGACCCCACAGGAGCGAGAATGTGTGATAGAGATCTTAAAGACATGCGATAAGGCTATAGCCTTCAGCGACGCGGAGCGCGGTAGGGTTGACCCTCGATACGCAAAGCCAGCAAGGATTTACACGATTCCACATATTCCTTGGAATGACGCAGGATGGAAATACGCCCAGAAGGAGAAGGAATAAGTTATCGCTTTCCTGGAAGAAAAGATGGTTTCCCATGTTGCGGAACCGTCTGATAGCGCCTATGCTAATTGATGGTTCTTCATACGAAAGCCGAATGGCAAGATCCGATGGATCCAGGACCTTCAGAAGGTCAACGCGGTGACGATACGAGACGTGGGCTCCGTGCCACACGCCGACTTACTGGCCGAAGGCGCCGCTGGCAGGTCGATTTATTCGGTCTGTGATCTGTTCTCAGGCTATGATGAGGTACCTCTTGATCCTAGGGACAGACACCTCATGGCTATGCACACGCCATTGGGACTGATACAGATGATGGTTGTCCCTATGGGTTGGACTAATGGGGTAGTTGTTTTCCAGAGAGCCATGGTAGCTGTCCTCAAGGACTTCATCCCTGATAAGGTTGAAGTTTTTCTGGATGACTTTCCTATAAAAGGGCCAGTAAACAAAGATGAGACAGAGGTTGTACCAGGAGTTAGAAGATTCGTCGAGAAGCCCCTAACAGATATTTGTGCGGTACTTGAGCAGCTGGACGATGCGAATTTAACGGCCAGCGGGACAAAGAGTCAATGGGTCGTCTCGACTATTAAGATCTTGGGCTTTATCTATGACTCGAGAGGACGCCGAGCAGATCCGGCGAAGTTAGACAAACTCCTGAACTGGTCGTCACCGTTACATAGTCCAACTGAGGTCCGACAGTTTCTGGGAGTGATCGGTTACTGTCGTATATTCATACGAGGGTATGCAGAGAAGGCTGAGCCATTGAGGTTACTCCTTCGAAAGACTGAGAAATTCTACTGGGATTCCTCGCAGGGACTCGCTATGCAAGAACTTAAAGACGAATTTAAGGAGGGAGGACGCATATTGGGCGTGCCATTCTTTGATGATGAGGCTGGGAGACCCTTCATAGTATCCACGGATGCTGGACCTTGTTCAGTAGGTGGATTGTTGTCTCAGAAGGACGCAGGAGGGAAGGAAAGACCATTAAGATTTGAGAGTAGAACACTTAATACAGCTGAGCGTAATCGGTCAATTCAAGAAGGAAGTGTTAGCTGTTCTGCGGTGTCTAGACACGTTCAGACACTATATCTATGGGTGACGGTTCATCTTGAGAGTAGATCCCACCGTGGTTGCCTCTGTCCTCCAGAAGGACTTTAGTCTGACGGACCCGACCATCGCTCGATGGTTAATACGGATTCGGCTATATGATTACACAATTGCGAGGATATCTGACACTAAAAATGTCGTGGCAGATGGACTTTCGCGCATCCCTCTTAAGGCCGAGCGCCCGATAGTAGCTGGTGCCCTGACAATGGCGGAGCTGAGACGCGCCGAGCGATTTCTGGTTAACCTTTACGAGGGCAAGTACCGAACGATTGGGCTACATTTATCAGGGGAGGAGAGTCAAGAATCAGATATCCGGAGACAAGTGGCGCAGTACTGCCTTAGAGCCGACCATCTATTCCGAAGGTCGGTCGACTCGGGGATGCCCTTACGAGTAGTCTGTGACCCTGAGGAGAGACAGATGATAGTTGCGGAGCTTCACGACGGGGTAGTCGGAGGACACAGGGGAGTCAAAGGAACCTACGAAAAGGTACGCAGGTTGTACTGGTGGGAAGGACAGTGTAAGGACGTCGAGAGGTACTGTATGACCTGCGAGGAGTGCCAGAAGAGAGCTCTTGTGAAATACAAAGAACCATTTCATCCATCCTATCCAACCACACCAGGAGAGAAGGTACACATCGATCTGGTGAAGATGCCGAAAGGGGTAGGCAATATGAACTATGTCGTGAACATACGAGACAACTTCACGGGGTTCGTGGACGGTAGACCTATCAGGGGTAAGACGGCAAAGGAAGTGAAGAACTTCGTCCTAGAGTACTTATCTAGGTATGGTTATGTCAGCAAGATAGTGATGGACAGGGGGGCGGAATTCCTGGCTGACAAGGTTCAGAGTGTGTTCAAGAGAGCTGGGGCGAGAGTTTCGATAGCCACTGCCTACCACCCACAGTCGAACTCCCCAGTAGAGAGGGGGCACCAGACCCTGATAGCGTCACTATCCAAGTGGTGCAAGGGTAAGGACAGTGATTGGCCACGATATTTTCGATACGCAATATGGGCGGACAACGTCACGGTCCGGGCTAGTACCGGATACCCACCGTACACCTTGTGGTTTGGGCAGCATTGTCCGCTCCCCATAGAGTTTCACGTCGACAGCTGGACAACCGTCGACTGGGCGGAGGAGATGTCCAGAGAGGAACTCATAGCTGCCCGAACAAGACAGATAGCCTACGGTTTGGAAGATAACCTTATGACAGCGGCAGATCGTCTGGCAGTGGAGAGGGACAAAGGTAAAGAGAGATGGGATAAGAACGTGAGAATCAGGAAAGAGAGGGTGAGCGTAGGAGATATGGTCCTTCTCTACGACGCAACACTGGAAAGGACCTGGACCGGAAAACTCGCCAACAGATGGATGAGACCTTACAAAGTAATTGAGGCACTCGACTGGGGTGCATATATGATAGCAGAATTGGACGGATCCAAGTGGAAGGACCCAGTGGCGGGTGCTAGGTTAAAGCTGTTTAGACCCAGACCTGCACCCACCTTATCACTGACAAGCCCGAAAGGGAAAGGAAAAGCCAAAATGGAGGATGGAGCCCCCTTGAGACGATTCGAGCCAGGGGAAAGTTCCAAGAAGAGAAAAAAAGTGGAGAGAAGAAAGGTCAAAGGGTTGGCATTAGGGAGAGAGAAGAAATGGTTATTCGTGCTCAGGAGGGTCAGACGGAGTGTCCGCAGTAGACAAACTGGCGGGACGGCACCCTTTACGGGCCAATGACAGAAGAAAAAGAGGATCCTACCAAGGCCGGGAACCCGGCGGAAAAGAAAAGTAAAAAAACATCTACTTAGCCCTAGAACCCAAAACAGACTGAAACATAAGACAATTGAACGCCGACATGGGCGTCCTTTCCGGGCAATCACCCTGAAGCTCGTCCGCTTCGTCTGACGAAAGTGGTTAGGGCTCGACGGGGGCGTCGAGAAGTGGTCCGGGCTAACTGTCAGGCAGCCACAAGCAGTGCGCCGCCTGAAATCTGCGGTTTTGGGACTTAGGCTCAAGGGCAAGTCCGTGTTTTAACGGTACTCTAGTTTGACCGGGCAGCTGAAATTAGGGGAACTCAGGGTACGCCTGATTCTGGGCACACTGAAGTTTACGAGTAACCCTCAAAGATGGCAAGATGGGAGGCCGTGCTCGGCACATCTAGGGGCCGTCTTTTCCGACCGTTCAGAGGGTTAGACTCGGATTGGCCTGTCGCGGGGAGGCACCGCACGACTGACCTCGCCGCAACGTTTTTGCAGCGTAGGACCGGGGCCGAAATGAGGCCTCAAATTTTTGCCTATTTTAGTACCGTAATTAAAGATGGGGGAAAGAGATTAAGACGAGTAGGGGGAAAGAGAAAAACATAATGTCCCTTAATTTCTTTATTTATCACGGCATTTAATTCTAGGGGGAATGCCCTTGATATTTTATGTTCCCAGCAATAAAATTAAAAACATAGAAAATATTAAAAAATGGTTAAAGAGAAAAGAAACATAAAGAATTTGATCATTTATTTAAACTTTCTCGAAAATTAATTTTGGGGATATTACGGTTAATTTACTATTTCCGACAATAGAGTTAAGGAAAGGGGAGAATGATGAAAAATGATGAAAGGGACGGAAACCCATGATTATTGGGAGATTGGCCTAATTTCGCCTCGATTACCCGCCACCAGCCCTGACCCCGGATTGAACATTTTCCCCGGATTTTAACAGTTTTCACTACTACCGATGGTCGAGGTTCCCTGAGTCGCTTTCCCTGGTTTGCTTGATTACTAACATTACCGCAGTTGGGATGTTCTGAGAGCGAGAGTCGCATGGACAACATGGGGTGGTGCTACCTTGGGTCGACTATGGTGTTTGGTTCGGTACGGATACGAGGGTTGTTATGGAGTGGCTACATCCTACGGTGTCTCACGTGCAACAGGTACGGTATGGGCTCACTACGGTGACTTATCTTCAGGTTTGGGACAGCTGCAGTGATTTATTATCAGGACCGGGGCTACTACGACGGTTATTCCAGGTTTGGAACCTTGGCGGCAGTTCGTTTTCAGGTCCGGAAACGTTGCGGCATTCTATATCAGGTTCGGGACAGGTACGGAATTATCATGGCATGGTTGTATGGGTTCGGCATCCGCGTGGCACAGCAGCCCGGTACTGGATTTCGGGTTTGGTCAGGTTCGGTGGCATCGWGGTRTTTCGTTTCRGGTTCGACGCCCTCACGACGATTTATTTCAGGTCCGGGACCTMTGCGGTGATTTATTTTCAGGTCCGGGACCACTGTGGCGATTTATTTCAGGTTCGAAACCCCTGCGGTGATTTATTTTCAGGACTGGGACGACTGCGGTAGTTCATTTCAGATTCGAGACCTTGGCGGCAGTTTATTCCAGGTTCGGCGTTATCACGGGTATTTAACCCAGRCYCGGCACCGTCACTGCCGCCATTTATTCCAGGATTGGTGYCACTMTGGTGCTTTWTTTCAGCTTYRRGMCCACTAMRCCAGTCTACTGAACTRGGAATGGGCATCAGGCGGGCGCGGTCGGGGGTGCCTGGCGTTGCAATKGACCGGGGGCCAGCCCCGAGYGATTTTGGAACAATGATCACAGTCTGAATGTATCTGTTYYATGTGCCAGGCTCGATACCTGTTGAACATTGAGTAGTGGACCGAGGCCCCACGACATCCATTCAMAGTGACWAGACAATCTGGTGATGTATCTCAGASCATAGGTCCTAAACAAATGGGCCTTWCTCCTCTACATAACATMCAAAATGTATTTGGCGCTGGYGATGGTCCCAGTGCATTCAGAATGTTCGAAGGAYTGTGGCCCTCTCTGAGCGCCCTGCGTGAATACAAGGCCGAGAGCTGGACGGAGGAGAATATAGGGGAAGGACCAGGCATTGTAGGGAGGGCAYGCCAGGTGTACCCAKCGTCTKGCTGACTYGAGCAGGAGTGAGCCRGTGAGAGAMGRCGCGAGGCGGTTACGACCACGGCTCGAAGCGAGCAGGGTGTACYCGGCCCACGGCATTGGAGATGTGCGAGTCAGMGGATGCCAGGGGCKGARGCGGTTACAGTCGGGACGGGCGGAGAGSTAGTGGCGCCACAGGGGACTAGCTGAGTACAGGRCGAGCGACAGCATAGTCGCCCACTTCRCTCTCCAGAGTCAGGTGACTGCATYMSGGGGAACCGTACGACYCACTAGTACTCGCCGTGYGGTAAGCGCCTCAGTCATGACCTCTGAGAGAGAAATRCATCGGGGGAGGTGCAAGGTGTGCYYGSKCRCAAGCATGGGTTRRAGMGGGCGACGGTTGCACAKGGAATCAGCTCGGTAGACAAGGCRCAGTGAAACCGGGGGAGAGGAGTGTCGGGCGTGCATTGCCCACTTATGGGCGCTGGAGACTGCCTGCGGCMTGGCCATGCATGTKCAGTTCRAGGGTGATGGTGAAGTGAGAAGCGKGCGCAGACCACAKGCGAGATTYKGATAGTGCACTTTTAGCAACTTGTACCAGGTGCGACCCRGATTGCGGGAGGTCACCTYAGWCAGCCRTGAGAGCGAGTGCAATGGTYTGTGCGGGAGGATAGGCAGATGAAGGCGAGGGAGAAACTRCRGAAAGCTGGAAAGCGRGGAAGAGCGGTACCGATGATCRAGTACGGATTGGTGATGAGCAACGGGCAACACCGATGATYGAGTTTGGATTGGCGAGAAGGGAAGGCAGGCATTGCCGCCAGCGTCCTTCCCAGTCCGATGAATCGTGATAGAGGCCYTGACGCGAGACGCCRAGGGCCCGGGAAMATGTCGAGACATGAATCGGAACAGTGCCAGCAAGAATCAGCCCTCTTCAGGTCAGAAGTCGACGGGTCGAGAATTTTCAGGTAAGCGAGAAACCAAGGGTGCGGGGGAGAAAAGGCCTGGGTCTCGTGCTACACGATTGGGAGAGAACCCGAGAGTTTAGGATAATAATGGAGTTATCTTTAGTTTATTGACAACATTATCGTTCTCATGCTGCCTTCCGCGGTGTCCTTTCGTCTGAGTCTAGGACTGAGAGAGGCAGCACGAGGGTTCCAGGGTAGAGGGTGTGSTAGAGAGAAAGKGATCAATTGTGCTAAGGACTGTTTCTATTCGCTGCTCGCAAAGAAGGCGCACCTGTAACGTT